AGGAAGAAGAACCTCAGCTTAGCCTGTAAGATTTAGCGCTGACGCTATATTGCCTTATATGTATTAGCTCGGCGCTAGCACAACAAACTAACAAGCTAAACTGTTGTCCTCCATCCATGTTTTCAGTTACAGGCTGAGTCATTTCTACCTTCTCCTCTCTGTCAACGCTCTCTGGTTTCATTTAAAAGAACCGATCGTCAGATTTGTCCAAGATTAACCTTCAGGGTGGATATAGCTCGCTCACACCAAGGACATATCCACGTCACCCAGAATGTTTTGCGTGAAAATAAAATGGCCCCGTCTGTGTAATATATTTTTAAACTTTTACTTTAAAAATTATAAAAACTCAACAGCCTACAGTATTTTTACAGTCTTTATTTTACAGTTAAAATATGTTTATCAAATAAAGTCTAATGTTACAACTAATCATGGCTCCCTTTAAATCAAAGTTTTTTGATACCTTCAGGTTTGCTCTGAGCCAGAATGGTGACATCCTCTCCTTTAGGGACCTCCAGGAGGTAAAGAACGGCTTCTTCTCGCACCATCCCTCTGAAGTCCACATTGTTCACCTGAAACAGACCACAAGAGTCTCCTGCTTCAGTTCTGAACCGCTGGGTTTGGTTTCATGAGGCGTTTTTCCACAGGCTCCGTTCTCTTTGGCTCCACCCACTCCACACCAGTTTAATTCTTTCCACTTTTGTTGCTTCATGCATTTAATGAGATATTGAATGTCATTTGTGGGACACGTCTCTCTTGTGGAATTGTACCTTTTCTGTATAAAGCTTGAACTGATGCGTCCTTTGTGCATTACTAGTTTCCAGTGCTAACTTGTTAGCGGCTAGATGGCCCTCTGCTCTACATTTATTGTATTTATTAATTATTCTTTACCATAATCTAGGCTAATCGTTGTCTTTTTGTTCAGAGTCACCTTCGACAAGTGACCGGCTGAGCTTCTTCCACACCAGTACCGGCTGCCTCGCCATCCAGGTCGAGGGGCTAYAGTAGAGAGGAGCTGCTCCCGTTACATTTGGACTTTAAAGATTTTTTAGCTGATTGTGTTTTTTAAATTGTTATCTTGTCTAGGGTTGGATACTGAAACTCGGTTCCGATATGGCACTGGGGTGAACATCAACGGAGGTAAACAGACCGAAACACAACAATAACTTCGGTCCAAAGAAAGCTGTTATATTGCGCCCTCTGGTGTTCACTGTTAACAGAGACACAATCTCCACAGACGCTCTGGTACGCAGTTCACCTCGGCCCAATCTACAACCATCTATAAGCAATGGTTTGCTGTTAAAGGGTATGAGTATTTATTATAGAACAAATATCAGACTTTTTATATCGATAGTTAGCTGTAGCACTGAATGAGCATCAGCTAACCCACTTTTACTGCCTACCTTTATACTGATGACTCCGCCCACAGAGCGGGGACACAGTTACCGTGGTAAATCACCGAGTAGAACCGATCCGATGAGAATCGAGCGGAGCCGCATTTAGCAGTGGAAAAAGGCCCGTTTGTTCAGCAGAGGGTACCTTCATTATCTGATCTCCCGTACGGAGGCCCTCCTGCTCGGCCGCGCTGTCCTCCTGGACGCCAGCGATGAAGATGCCGACATCGTTTCCTCCCGCCAGCCTCAGACCCACGCTGTCGCCTTTCTTGAAACACACCATCAACGTGTTGGGGCTGCATCACACACACACAGAAAAACTGGGTAAAAACAACCATCTAGTCTCTCTGAATATAAACCGACAGTGAAATACTGACCCGTATACTTCCTGGTCTTCTGCGCTTGGCTTTAGGGGAACCTTTGATGGAGCCTGGACCCTCGGGGCGGCGGCTGGTGCAGCTGGAGGAAAAAAAAGTTTACGCACTGCGCTTCACTGGAGTTTATTCTTTATTAATACTGCAATACTTTATGATTACCTAGTGGCGTCTCAGATCGAGGCTCCTCCCTCTCTGCTTGCAAAGGGGGCGTGTCTTCAACATTTCTATCTGCACTTCTGAATGGCGTCGGCATGGCGCCCATTTTTGCCAACCTGTTAGGCGGGTCCTCTCTAGTAAGAACACGGTTAATGGTAAATTTAAAACGCAGGAAACCCTGATCACATGTTTAATAAAACCACAGGAGTTCCACAAGGTCCCCTGCTTGGGCCCCTTTGATTCTGAATCTACTCCCACCTTCCAGGCCCCAGAATTCACTTGCATGGCTTCAGAACACGGCCGACACCCAACTTCATCTTTGTTCTTCAGAGTTGAAGGTCGAACTCCAGCTTTTCTTTAACAATCTGTTCATTTGACCAAATTTTGATGCAAGAATCGTCTCAAACTACAGATCTGAGTCCATCCTTTCAGTTTTAGGGATTTCCATATCTGGGCAGCTTCCTGTCTCCACCATGTCATAATTTAAATAAAAACAGGATATTTTTGTTGTAGAACCTCTTTGAAGCAGAAATGGCTCAGTTCTGGTTTTGACCCGCTCTTCTTTCCAGTGTAGCTTCATTTCACTGAGGTTGAAGGTCCCAGCACAGCATTTCAGTCAGGCTGAAGATATGGACTCTAGTTGGACCGTTGCAGGACCTTGATATTTCTCTTTTTGACMCATTCTGTTGTAGATCAGCTGCTGTGTTTGGGCTCATTGGTTCTGCTGGATCCAGTTTGGTCCAAGCTGTCCGTGGATGAACTTACGTTTGACTCAAGAACCCTTTGGTCTACAGAGGAGTCCAAATGTCAACAAGGTTCTAGAACTCTTGTGGTTCATTCAGGTGAAACGTTATAAGCCCAACTTGTGACGCCATGTTTTTGTCTGTCGTGAACTTTGACCTTTAACCTGCTAACGGAGGCTGGCCTGAATCAAACCACCAACGCTCATCTATTTTTAGTTTTCCTGTAACCAATGAGTTGCCGGTTCTATCCCCCGTTCTGTCTCAGTTGCTGACATTTCACCTGCCTGGCAGCCCCACTTGTAAATGTACCCCAGGGCAGCTGTGGCTACAATGTAGCTTACCACCATCAGTATGTGAATGTGTGTGAATGACTGTTAGTGTAAAGTTCTTTGCAGTCTGATAAACTTGATAAAGTGCTAAATAAGTTCAGTCCACTTACCATTTTCTTTAAAGTGCCTGTGACATCTAATTTTTGTAATAAACATGAATGCATTTTTGGAAAGAGTACACTGATAACATGTTGCAAAGCAAATTTCACGCTGCTGAGATGAACAGCTGTTGAGATACTCGCATGTGAAGAAACAGGAAGTGATGTCAAAGGGGTATTTCTGCATGTGAACAGAGCGTTGCTACGATGGCTAACAACACAGACTGTGGAGAAGAATCTTCAGATTATTTTGAGTTTCTATCAGAGAGATGAAACAGATATTGTTTCAATAAACAAAGACCAGAGTTTATTTTCTTAAAAAGTTCCCCTTGGATGTCACTTCCTGTTTCACTTTGGCTGAATTAAAGTCAAAAGAAAATATAATAGTTATGTGACAAAATGAGTAAAATCGTGTATTATTCCAATTTTAGTAAAAAGATGTTTTGTTTGACTTCTTGTATTTGAAGGATAGGCAGGTCACAGGCACTTTAAACCATTTAAACATCTGCTTTTTATGTTTAAAAATAAAACAATATGGACAGTGTAGGTTGAAATGGTTTCTTGTTCCCAAAACGTGAAAGTTGTTTTAAATAAATGTGACTTCTGTGTTGAAATAAAGGTTAACACGTATTTTGAAATTCAAACATTTACAGTTTTAACAACGAGCACTTCTCTAATGAAATCCAAGATTAGAGAAACATTTCATTATTATTATTATTATTATTATTATTAAAGTGGCGTTTCAGATTCTAAATGATGAGGGCTGAGCGTCGCTCGTCAACATAATCCTGCATTATCCTAATTGTTTCTGCTGCATCCAAAGTAACCATCATCAGCATTTAAACACAGCTGGAACGAGGAGGTTTTTAATTCTTAAAAACGAACAATCAAAATAAATATTAAAAAAGTAGGAGGAGCTTGTGACTGCATGATTAAAAGATACATTTAGGAGCTGGAATCTGCTGGAAATGAATTAATCTAAACGCTTGTGTCTCTCATTGGATGGAAACTCAGCTGAACGTCAACYCAAAAGGTTTTGGCTCCAATTATCAAAAAAGGTAAAGGTGCAGCATTTAGAAATAAAAAATGAGAACGCTGAGAACTTGATAAACAAAAACATAAAATATTGGCAAAACACAAATAAATGTCTCAAAGCTAAAATTGAGCATAAACCAAAGCTAAAAAGGTAAAATAAGCATGTTTGAAGCAGGGGTCTACATTGTTTTTTGTATAAAAGAATTATTTGGTAAAATACTAAAATGTCACGGCATCATGTCCTGATCGAGGTAAATATTTAACGCATGGTTACAGAAAACGTAAAGACAGGTTTATAATAACTAAGTACATTTACTTTGTTACAGTTCTGAAGTGATTTTGAGGATTTGTAATTTTACCAAGTATTTTGTCAAATTGTTATTTTAATTTTTTTTGTTACATTCAAAACTTTAAAATGTAACACCTAACTTGTTACAAAGATGAACCTGTCTGAACTCATGAGTTGTTTCTGTGTTTTAACCAGTCAGAAACAACATTTAAGACTTCTGTTTAATATTCTTTTAGTCATTGGAAATATTGAACTTAATCCAGGTCCAGATAAAAATGTTTTTATGTCCACTTTTTTTATTTTATGGGATTTTATACACGTTTTTAATTATCTTGACCTGGGTTTGTGCACAGGTGTATCTTATATAAACCCAACTCAATTACAGTCTACACAGGGATCTATATTATATCCTGAAAAGGTTAGACAACCTCCTGTTATGTCAAGTCTGAACACTTCATCAGTAAGAAAGCAAAAGCGATTTTCCTGTCTAAAAAAAATCCAGGGACGCTAAATCAACKAGGTAAAATTWGAGGCTTTAAAATCTGTCATTTMAATATGAGAAGTCTTGTACCTAAACTGGATGAATTCAAAGTAATACTTGCTCAGACACAAGCACATGTTATGGYTATATCAGAATCATGGCTGACTCCTGCTRTACCAAATTCATTTCTTTCAGTTGAAAATGATTCATTGTATCGTAGAGACCGTACTGATAGGCTTGGAGGTGGTGTTGCAGTTTATGTTCACAAGAAATACTCACATTCTATAATAGAATTGTCATCTGAGTCTGAATCTCTGCAATAAGAAATCAAGCTTACAAATCACCTTTCAGTAATGTTGTTGTTACATATAAACTACAAGTGTTAATTCAACTAAATAATTTTTTTGTTTTTTATATCCACAACAGAAATTAAAAATTGTATGTAAATATGTGATCACTACTAAGAGTAAAACATGTTAGCTCGTTACTTAAATAATCYAACTTTCTCTCAAATCCACCAGAATTTCTTTTAAAATATTTGAAGACTACATAAGAATTAGGAAAAAAAACATACTTAAACAGTTCAGTTGTACTAGTTTTTATGTAATTCGGTATAAAACTATATAAAGTACTTTTCTTGTGTACATGAATATGGTCTTTTCATTTGTCCTGATGTGCAAAAATAATAAAATTCACAATATATTTTTCAGTTTTATAATGGCACCTCCATTGGCCGTAAAGGTTCCCGAAAAGACCTTGAAAAGGCCCGCGGACCAGCAGTTGATAATCACAGCTGTAGCTTGTTTCGTGGCTCTGGACTCATTTTATCAGTGAGCCGAGGAGCAGGCATGGCTCTTTTGACTGTAAAGGCTGCAGACCCCTGGTTTAGTGATAAATTCAACCATTTTTTTCATAGTGTTTTACTTTTCTCATCTATGTATTTTTACCAAAGTCATTTTCTGTTGAAGTTTACTTTTGCTTTTTGTCGGGTACTTTATAAACCTCTGCCTAAAAAGAAGTATGAAACTGAATCCTGACTCACCTGGTTTATAAAAATAACATCTTTTAGCTTTATAAAAAGGAGTTTAAGTGAGAAACCTCTGCTCTAACTGCTATTTTATTATTTCATCGTGGATCTGAAGCTAAATTATTTATGGTTTTAAAGCTGCTGCTTCAGGGGACACRTTGACCTGGACGGGGTTTCAGCGGCTGTGTACCTGGGTTTGTCTCGAATCCTCTCGTTGGACGAGTGGGACGAGAGGTCGGAGTGGTGAACCCGTCTGTCATCCTGTGGGGAATAAGAGCGGTACGACTCGATCTCAGAGATATCTGTAAAACACGACAGACAAAATGAAAATTGTCTAGATGCTGCAGTCTTTTTTCTTTTTTTACGTCTGAAAAGCAAGAAAATGGGCAAACTGCTCCTGGAAATGAGCGTGTCTTTAAAACGATGCAGCTCTGAGCCTCTTCAGGTTCTGCAGAAATCGTTCTGTTTTTACAAAACACACGGCTGCAGCGGTGAGAACCTGAACGTAACGAGACGCCGCCGTGTTCGGCAGCAGGATTATGATCGGGGATTAGATCACCCTGCTGCTGGCGAATGAACACTTTCACACATGACGACACACACACACACACGCACACACACACACACACAAAGTGGGTCACAGGTCTTAGGGCTGTTCTCCCTCCCTGCAAACACAAACCGGACCTGACCAATCCCAGCTCTCCGTCAGGTCATGTGACACAGAAACCAGGTATAAAGGAGCGACAGGATGTTGATGGACTGAGGTTACACAGCGGAGGATCCGTGAAATAATATTTAAATACCACTTAAAAGTGATGAGAGTAAAAGCTTTATTTAATGAGCGGAGATAAAAACAGGTTACAGCAACATTAATGATTGGCAACAACGTTTTACTGGCCGATCAAACAGGAAGTTCACATGCAGTGTGGAGGGGTGGGGGGGGGTTTCTATGTGGCGATGAAGATGATGGTGATGAAGACGACGAGCTCTCGCCACGCGTGCATTCACACCGGGAAGCTCCTGCCGCTTTTAGGTTTCAAGGGTCTCTCACCATCGAACTCCGAGTCGCTGTCGACCATCGGCGGGATCCGGATCAGGACCTGGCGCCGGTCCCTCTGCACCACCAGCGCCAGCCGCCCGCGGGACTTCTCGATCAGCTTCCCGGCGTCGCTCAGGGACAGGTTCTCCGTCACGGTGCCGTTGATCTGGAAGAGCGACCGATTTGGAGTGATTTTCTACGCAGTTTTCAAAAAGTAAAATTTTGATTTCATCAAGTTCACTGTCGATACCTTCAGGATGATGTCTCCTTCCTGCAGGTTGCCGTCACGACCGGCGAGTCCRGTGCTGGTCATCTCTTTGATGAAGAGCTGGCTGCCCAGACGAAGACCGTACTCTGGGGAAAAAATAAATAACATTTTTACACATATTTCCTCAGTTCATAAAGATGTGACAAAAATTATTTTAATGCAACAAACAGTGTTGAACACAAGTAACGGTCTTCATTAACCACTAATCACTAAGCAACAAGCTTAGCTGCGCTAACGCTAACCAGATAAAAGATTAGTGGAAGCTAATGCTAACCAATAAACATAAAAGATTAGTGGAAGCTAATGCTAACTATTAAACATATAAAAAGATTAGTAGAAGCTAATGCTAACCACTAAACAGACGAAATGATTAGTAGAAGCTAACGCTAACCAATAAACATATAAAAGATGAGTGGAAGCTAACGCTAACCACTAATCAGATAAAAGATAAGTAGAAGCTAATGCTAACCGCTAAACAAATAAAAGATTAGTGAAAGCTAACGCTAACTGTTAAACATGCATAAGATTAGTCGAGGCTAACGCTAACAGCTAATCAAATAGATAAGTGGAAGCTAACCACTAATTGGATAAAACATTTGTGGAAGCTAACGCTAACCACTAAACAAATAAAAAGATTAAAGCAAACACTAACCGCTAATCTAACAAAATATTAGTGGAAGCTAACGTTAACCGCTACAAGGTCACACCTGTTCATTTTCTATTGATTTAAATTTAACGTGGGCGGGATCATCTATGGCAAAAAAACTAATCTAAACCAGAGTTATAGCTCTGTCTAACCTGTGATAACTCTTTCAGAATAAAAGCATTTCTTTGACTGAGTCTATATTGTTATAAATACCATTTGAAGTTAGATTCATAGTAAGTTTTTTTCTATCAGTTAAATATTGTTAAATGTTATTTTATTAATTTTTGATGCTTTTAGTTTGAAGTTTAGCTGCTAAAGATGCTACAAGCTAACACACACACGGTGCCCGACACGTCCAGCACTGATTGTAAGAGGAGATAAATTTTATTTAATTCTGGATAAACATAATTGTTTTACTGTTTTTGACCTAAAATTAGCAGAACCTAATTTAGTGGAAGCTAATAGTTCCGCTAACAGTTTTTGAAGTTAGCAGAAAAGCTAATACGCTAAAGGAGATGCTAGTTCCACTGTTAGTGGATGAGTGGAACTATGCCCACCACTTACATTGAGATACTTCCTGTCACCCAAATGTCTGTTAACGAAGTATTCAAGATAGCTGCCACAGCTAAACGACCTTTAATCAAGATCTCGCTGAAAGTTTTTCTCCAGCGAGCGGYGTTTGTCTTTGAATCGGTACTCTTGGTCACGCACATTATTTTCTGCTCCACATCTGGACCAAAATGAGCCTTTTTACAGCTGATAAAGAGTTTTAGGAATAAATACTGAAGCTCACCTTCRTTGGGATGGTTCTTCAGCAGCAGCACGTTCACAGGTTTCTCCAGCGGCTCCAGGTCTCTGGGGGGGCGGGGCAGAGGGATGGGCGCAGGCGGAGGCGACGGCGAGCGGTCCAGTCGGTCCCGGCTCCCGCTCCGCCTCGCCGGCTCGTCGAACTTCCTCGGGTCTTGGTCCCGCCCCCAGCCGGGGTTGTAGCCATCGCGCCCGTAGCGCTGGTCGGGGCTGTGGTCACGGTCCAGCGTCCGCTCGCTGCGGAAGCGGCGGTCCGGGCTGGGGCCCCGGTCCAGGGCCCGCTCGCTGCGGTAGCGGCGGTCCGGGCTGTAGTCCTGGTACCGCCGCTCGGGGCTGTAGTCGCGGTCCAGACGGTTGTCGCTCTTGTAGCGGCGGTCGGGGCTGGGCTCCCGGTCCAGGGTGCGTCCTCGGCTCCCGTCTCGCTTGTAGTTGCGGTTCGGGTTCAGGTCCCGGTCTGTGATCCGGCCGCGGTCGTAGTCACGGGTTTGGTACCCGGAGTCCGGGTAGCCGCCTCGCTGCTCCGGGCTGTAGTCCCGCGCCCCGACGCTGCGGCGGTCATAGTTGTAGTCATCGTTGTAGTCGTTGTTGAAAACCCGGTCGTCAGGGGACGGAGGACGGTTCATCAGGTTCACCGGAACCTTCCGGGGACGTTTGACGGTCTGAGAAAAGAGACGTCAAGAGGACCGGATCAACTTAAACAACACTCTGCAGTTATTTGAGCTTTTAACGTAACAAAACACAAAATAAAACTAACAATTTTGGCCACTTTCCCRCACTTCCTGAGGGTTTGAACGGCAAAGGAGTGCTGAGCCCCCTCCATGGCGACGGCATTCACCTGGACCACCCGGTCCTTCTCACTGAAACAGACCAGATGAGACTCAGCAGGACCGGCTTCATTATAACCAGATGATAATAAATAAAAAAGATACACACAACAACAAGCCGTCTGCAGGTCCTCCCTGCAGGACGTCGGACACCATGATGGACGTCTCGCCCGTTTCCTCGTTCGGGTTGTCCCGTCCTCCGGAGACCGCGATACCGAAACCCATCTTTGGATCCTGGTGACAAAAAAGACAAAAACATCTGAGTAAGAAGAAAACTAAAACAAATCTGGAGACATTTTGAACTTCTCCCAGGTTTAGTTTGAATTTTCTTGCTGGACATCCGGGGCCGAACAGAGATCATCAAGGGGCCTCGTTCTGGACCTCGGACCGTGTGTTTCTTTAAAGATTTTCAATCAGAAACTCAAAATAAACAAACAAACTAATGGTTTAAACCTTAGAGTTATTGTGATGACTTTTTACAAACAATAGCTATGTTTACATGTGCAAAATTCTTTGATTGGATTGAAATGTATTCAGATTAAATAATCCAAACGTATCGTTTACATGGACACAATCCGATCATGAGTGTTTACATGCTGCACCAGGCTTTTATTCAGAATAGAAGCACTGACGTGTGCAGTTGTTAACTTCCCTTAAAAAAAAAAACACAACATAAACAACCAGCTTCTGAGCTCAGAACGGACCTGAGACAGGTTTTAATAACGGTGGAGACGTTACTGCAGCTGCAGGAAACGCACAGATTTTTTTTTTTTTTTGCGAAGCGGCGCAGGCTGTGTGTCTTCCTTCTTTATTGAATGAGAAAACTGGAGGAAAAGTTCTGTCTGCTGGAAACCAGTGGATGAAAGTCAGCAGACATGTGCAGTCAGGTCAGTTTTCCACAATCAGAATAAAATGATCAGATTAAGTGTTTACATGCATGCTGTTCGGATTATCAATCAGCATAAACCACCTCTCTTATTCTGATTACAACCTCATTCGGATCGAGCCGAATCAGGTCAGAATAATCCAAACGGGGTGTTTACATGAYGCATTTTTATTCTGAATGGCTGTTTAATCTGATTACTTACGTCCATGTAAACGTAGCTAATGTGACAAATTCTCTGTTTTCCTACAAAACTCCTCATCAGAAGCTGGAAAATATTTAATCCTTGAGTAGAAACTCATCTTTTTTCCTTCACAGGTTTACAGAAATTGGTCGTGTTGCTCAAACGGAGCAACTTTATTAGTTAATTGTAGCTAAAAAACTAATAATTTAGTTTTATTTATCATAAAAAAGGAAACCTTTCCAGCCGTTTGTTTCTGGGCCAACAGAAACAACACGTCACTAAAAGTGAGACCAGAGGATGAGAGGTGGACGTGGAGCAGAGTGCGACAGCTGGCTGCAGGGGGCGGGGGGTGGGGGGCGCAGAGGTCACCTGCCCTGCAGCACACGACCTTTTTGCTCTAAATTTGCTTTTCTGGCTCAGACTGGCAGCACGGGACAATGAGCTCAGAGAGATTAGCTCAGCTCCACTGGTCAGCTGCTGGAGGATCAGAGCTGCTAAAAACTAAAAATAAAGAGTTTCACTCTGCAGCAGCCATGTTGAAATGACGACGTCATCAGCCATGTTGGGAAATGACGACATCATCCGCCATGCTGAGAAATGACGACATCATCCGCCATGCTGGGAAATGACGACATCATCAGCCATGCTGGGAAATGACGACATCAGCCGCCATGTTGAAATGACGACATCAGCCGCCATGCTGAAATGATGACGTCAGCCATGCTGAAATGATGACGTCAGCCATGTTGAAATGATGACGTCAGCCATGTTGAAATGATGACGTCATGCGTGCTCAGGTACGGTCCCAGAAGCACAGACTTAAAATTACAACTTCAGCGCCCAGTCAGGTTGATATTTTGGACTCRGAAGAACAGCTGGAACCCAGCTTTAGTCCTGAACCATCGGACCAGGTCCAGGTGGGCCAGACTTCTTATCAAAGGTCTTGTTTCAGAGTCAGATCTGAGCAGCTTCATCAGGAGGTCCACACACCTCCTCCACAGGTCCTGAGAGGAGCTTAAGCCCCGCCTCCAGTGTTTGGTCCCACTCTGTTGGGTTCTGCTCAGGTGTGTCTTCATGTCAGAGTGTCCCTCAGTCTGTGGACAGATCTTCAGGAGTTTTCAACATCCTTAAAAGTCTTTAAAAATGTTTCATAATCTTTACAGCACCTTACACCTTTTGTTCTGGTTGTGCTCTTTTTCCATTTTGTGCAAATTTTAGCAASTTTTTATGCAAAAATTAGCTTTTTCTGCTATTTCAGCTAAAATGCTGCTGATTTTTTTCTACTTTTTGTGCTTTTTTCTGTTAATTTGTGCTTTTTATGCTTTTACGGATGTTTTCTGCTATATTCAGCTATTTTAGCTTCTAGCTTTTTCTGCTTTTTCAACTTTATTTTAGCTCCTTTTTACTGTTTTTCTGCAACTTTTTTTTTGCTTCATTAAGTTTTTCAAATTGAACTCTCATTAACACTTTTTATTAAATATTTTCAGGTCAATTTCAGCAGCTTTCAGCTTAAGTTTTCAGCAAGAAGCATTCACACTGGTATTTTCACAGGAAATGCAGTGTTTCTAGTTTTTTTGTATTTTCTTGTTTTTCTGCTTTAAAGCATTGAGCGTTCCTGCTGTTAAAGTTTTATTTTGTGTAAAATAAAAACCTGTTTATGTGTCTGTAGAGTCTCAAACATCTCTAACGAGTCATAAAAGAGGTTTTGTTTGTGTGAATCAAGTGAAGAYGTGTCTGAGACTCACTCTGTGAAGGGTCACTGTGTACTGCTCCCACACCGTCTCCTCCATGACCGGRTTCTGTGGACACAAAAAGAAAGAAAGCAAAGATTATGACGTCCTGCTGGTTTTACACTCCACAGATTAATAATGTATTATGTGACGTAACAACAAAGCCAAGTTCATTGGCTGTCGTTACACAACCAGGACCTGAGAGACATTTCAGAGATGAACACCTTCACACAAACAACTAAAGTTTGACACCAAAACACTGAAAACTTCACAGCTCTGCTCGCAATCGTCTCCATTTAGTTTCTAATCCCGTTTCAGCTGCCGGGACCGGACTCACGAGTCCCTGCAGGATGCGGATGGTCTTGACGGCGTGGGCCCACTTCCTGTGGAGGCTGAGGACGGTCTTCATGGTCCGGAGCTTCCCAGGAGCGCGTCGCTCACCGGCGGCGGTGCTGTGACGGAGCGCCGTGCGCCGCAGCCTCCTCCATGACCACAGCTGCAGCAGCTGCGGCTGCAGCTCTCCCCCTCATCTGCCCGCCTGACTGACGTCAGAGGGGTTCTGCTGGCCTACATTCTGCACAAATCCCACCGTCTGCACAACAAACCTCCCAACGGTTTCTGTCTCAACTTTTCTGAGAGCAGGTCCTAAAATCTGAGAGCTAATTTTAGAGGTTTGGGTTTGACCCAGTTTCATGATCCTTAGACCTGCAGAAGAACCAGAGGTGGACCCCCAGGAGCCCACAGGACTGTCTGAACAAAACCATCACGCACGATATTTCACCCCAGATCTGAAACTCACAGCGGGTACCACACACACCTTCAGCTCAACAGCTGTAAAAATAAACACATTTACAACCACTGAGGGCAGCTAGCTGCGGCGGCCATCTTGGATCAGGTCGTTTCTGAAGCTCATCCAACGGTTTGTGAGATATTTTGCTAACAGACTCACTTGATCAGTCGGCTCTCAGAATACATGTTGCGGCTCAGTCTCAACTACTACCAACCCAAATCTGAGGTGAATATCTCTAAAACTGACTGAGATGTCGACATTCAGGTGTTCGCCAACATCATTTAGCTGCGGCGGCCAYTTTGAACAGGAAGKACTCCAAACGTTAATCAGCTGATGGGGTTCAGTCAGCGGTTACTTCCTGAGAGTTTCACCCTGATCCACACRTTGGATGAGGAGATATTTTGCTAACAGACAATGCTTAAAACTGCTCATCTTTTACATGTTGCTGTAATCTTAATCTGCTCAGATTAAGGTCACATAAATAAGCTGAAGATATTTTAATGTTTAACCTCGCTTCAAATGAAGACGGAGCGGCGCTCTCCGTCTCCTCAGAGACGCTCCGAGGCTCGCCCCCCGGACCAGTGTCCTGAGCGAGCAGCGTTACGCAACCACACACAAACCGCTACACAAACGAGGAGGAGAGGAAAACAGATCCTAAYCTGAGGATGTGACTCAAAATTGACTGATTAAAAAAGACAGGAAGTGGATTAAAATAAAGGCTAGAACTGAGATCAGAGAGATTAACATGTTTTTGTTTACATGATCGCCTGTCAAACAAACAACAGGACTGAAGACAACAGGAAACTCCCTCTGAGCTGAAACWGCTTCATGTCAACAAGTTTATCAGCAAAACCTCAGGAATCTGAAATCCTTCATGTTTTCATATCAGAGAAAAGATTCAAAGAATTTCAGAACGCAGGCCGAGAAAAGATTCAAACTGTACGACAAAAACTGACAAACTTCTTACAACTCACAACAAAAACTGACCTCTAACAACTCACAACAAAAAGTGACAAACGTCTAACAACTCACAACAACAAGTGAAACCATGTTGTGAGTCTTTACGCTGAAAGATTTTAGCTGATATCTGCTGAAGGAGCTGAAAAGGTTTTATAGCACAACTGTTGATGTGAGTTAAATTAGAGCAGCCGAATTTAGCTGAAAGGAAAACAATCAGAAAAAAGCTAAAATGTGTCAAAAAAGCCAAACAGAGCAGAAATTCAGCTGAAGTTAGCAGAAAACAGTAAATATTTTAAATATATATATAGCTTAAAATCAGATATAGTTTAAACTACCAGAAAGAAACTGCAAGAAACATAAAGATGAATTAAAAAAAAATATTAAAAAATAATAAAACTGAAATTTAGACAAAACAAGCAGAAAATGATAAACAGCCTAAATTGGAGGAAAAGAGCTTGAAAAGTTGTTTAAAAAAAGCTGAAAATGAGCAAATAAACAGTGAAGGAGCATGTTTGCTAAATTAAGCAGCAAAAAGCTGAAAAGTCCAACAAAACATGAATTTATGAAAACACAGCCGAGGAGCAGCTGAAGTGTCAGAAACAATAAAAGCAGAAAGAAGATGAAAATAGCAGAAAAAGCTTAAATTAACAGTAAGAATCACATCAAAGCAGATTTAGCAGAAAGAAGTTGAAACATCGCTGAAAAAATGCCGAGAACAGTTAAAATTAACAATAAAAAATTAAAGGAAGCTGAAATTAGCTAAATAGTTAAAAGAAAAAGCTAAACATCTCAACAAGTATAAATGCTAAAATACTAAAAAGGTCAAGATGTCCCGGAGGAGCTGAATAAATTGTTGAGCTGGTACAAAAACCGCCGAAAAACAAAGAAAAATGGATTTTTATAAGCCGTCACACAACTAATGAAAATAACATTTTCAAAAATCACAGCTACAGTTCAAATCCTGCAGAAACAAAGGACTATGACTAGGACACAACATTAAAACAAGCTCAAAGAAAATAAATATCAATAATTCTCAGCTCCATCAGCCAATTGTGGATAAAAAAACTGATTATCTTCAATAATTCATCTTAATAAAATAAGCAACTTTTCCCATTTAAAAGATAAAATCAGTATTTTTATAAAACCTTTATCATAATGACCTTTCTGATAGTTTATTTCATGATAAAACCAACTTATCAACATTTGTTTCCTGTTGACCTGAGAGTAAATGTTGTGCAAGTCTGCCCCCTCCTGGTGACACGGCCGTATTACATCATGGAAGTTTGAAAGTTTTTAAAACCAGTGTAATAATTCATAAATTAAATCACTTAAAATCAGATTACAGCCTTTTTAAAAACAGAGTGAACACACGGTTAATAATTTTTCTCAACAGAAAAACTGGGACTAAGTTTTTAGGGAGAAAAAAAGCCGTTTTTGTTGCCGGAATCAGGTGGCAGCAGGTGCGGTGGGATGCAACAGGCTTCAGCCGGGATTCATGGAAACGCCCCGAGACCGTCCGCAAAATCTCCTCCAAAACATTAAAAACTTTAAATCATTCCCGCCACATCACTGACACAGACCCTTTAGGTGTCGAGCTCCGTACATCCCCGGTGGTTTTAGATTAATTTAACGGTACTTACGGTTAAATACTGAGTTGGATATCTGCTCAGGGAGAGCAGGCCCCCTCCGTTCACTGGCATCACGCACTTTGAACCGTCCCGGACTGGCACCGGATCTCTACACGGACCGGGACCGGTTTCTTCCGGACGAGCGTCAACTAAAACTTGAACAACACGGTTTTAATTAAAAAGCGTTCAGCGCGTCCCGGGTTCACTTTTAGTGCCGACTTGTGCTCCTCTAAAAGACGTTAAACATTAAACATCCGGGAGGGCAGCAGCGTCCAGTGCTCCCAGCTCCATCCGGACTGTACCAAACCGAAACAGAGCGCGGGGGTGACCGTTACACCACCCGTGGAAAACACAAGAAAACTTTAAACAGCACCGCTTTGTAACTTAATCTAAAACCAGTTTAAAACACTAAAACCTCCATATATACAGTTTACAGCTCAGTAAATATTAAAGTAAGAATATTTACAGAGAACTCACTGACTTTATCCCCCCCTCCGCGGAAATGGATCCGTCCAGAACTCCCATCGATTTTCCAGCAGCCTGCTGTGAGGCTCCTCAGACCCAACAACAACAACAASCTTTTATTTTCTGCTTTTAGGCGAATAAACGAGTTTATTTCACCGACAACATGAACCAACTTTAAATGTAAAAATAACACAAGTTTTAAAAATAATTATCCAAAAGATTTACCCTTTYAGAAACGTCATTTTTGACTTTTATATTCAAAAGTTTTATTTATAGAGGTTTTTTTTTTAACTTTCCATAAATTTCATATTTTAACTATTTCATATAAAGCATTCAAACACAAACATACAAGCTTGTTTACTGACAGGAAACATTAATGGGACTTTTCCCTCATATTTTATTGATAAAAACAATAAATATATTTTTAATGCACAGCTAAATATAAATATATAAACTACTTTATTACATGTACTGTTTTTATCAGACGTTTACAAAACAGCCAGAAATGCTGTTCATTTGAGCTTTTAATGCTGAGTCAGCGTTTGCACTTAAGTACAATTTTTACTTCAGCAAACTTGGTGCTTCTTCTGTTCATAAACCAAAACATTCAGCAGGTGTGTTCTGACTTTTTTTTGCTATTTTTATACTATTTAGCTACCATTTTTTTGTCCTTGTAGCTTCTAGATACTGTTCTGACATTAAGCTCTTAGCTACTTTTACTAATTTTAGCTAGTACTTTTATCCTTTTAGATTTGAGCTGTTTTGTACCTGTTAGCTGGTGTTTTTTTTCCACTTTTAGCCACTGCTGTTTGTGCATATTTAGTAAGTGATTTACTCGTTAGCTAGCGTTTTGTTTTGTTAGCTGGAATGTTGCTTATATTTTGTACCGTTTTGTTCCTTTAGCATCTTAGCTACTGTGTTGCTCCTGCTGGCTAGCATTTTGCTAATTTTAGCTATTAGCTAGTGTTCAGGTCCTTCTAGCTATTAGCTAGTGCTCTGCTTGTTTAAACTAGTGTTTTGCCTCTTGTTAGCTTTAAACTATCGTTTTTCCTTTTTAACTTTTAGTATTGCACCTTTTACTCTTTTTAGCTAGTGTTCGGCTCATTTTAGCTAATATTTAGGGTTTTTTTATTAGTTTAGCCCTTTTTACCTTTTAGCGATCATTACGCTCCTATTAGCATTTTGCTCCTTTTAGCTAGTGTTCAGCTCCTTTTACCTAGTGCTCTGCTTCTTGTTAGCTTTAAGCTACAGATTTTCTTTTTGAACGTAGTTTTGCACCCTTTAGCTTTTAACTATTGTTCTGCTCATTTTAGCTAGTTTTTTAAATATACTTTCAGTGTTTAGCTAAAGTTCTGCTTTTTGTTAGCTTTCAGCTATTGGTCTGCTTTTTTGTTTTAAACAAAATGACTGGAAAACATCACAAAGTGGAACTAATGAGTCGTTCTGTAAACAAAACAAAAATAAAAACAAATAAATGAAAAACCCAAAGCCATCTTATTTTGAAAAACAAAAAACTCTAAAACAGCTGAAGTTTTCTGAGCTCCAGAGCAGCCGGGCTGGATGTGGTAAAACCTAAAATTCAGGCTACTGGTTCTGAACATTCCTGACCCGAACCATCTGTGAGACCGGGTCGTCAGAACAATGGAGCTCTCTGGACCCGACGCGTCTCTGAGGTTAATCATCGACCTGAGAGGGGGGCGGGGCCAGAGCAGCGGCAGCCTGGGAAACGCTGAGTCACTGAAACTTTTAAATCCAAACAGGAGAAACAAAGTGTTTTTAGCTGAAACACGTCATGTTTTCAGCTGTGTTTGAATCCTCTAAAGACCGAGGACCGGTTCTGAGCCTGACTCTCAGAAGAACTGATCCACCAAACCCACATCCAGCAGAACCACCAGCTGCTGGTTTACCTGATCCTGCTGCTGAGTCAGCGTTCACACTGTGGTGTCTAACAGCTGATTCTCCACACTTGGTCAGATTACAAAATAAAGGTTCGGCTCATTCAGGAGACCAAAACTTTTAGTTTTTCTTACTTTTATATATTTTTAAATATTCAACTTTTTATTACAAATATTTTCCTTGTTAAAATAAAGCACTGTTATCTTTAAAACCTGCTTCAGCTGCTGTTTGGTTTTAGCTACATTTAGCAACATTTAGCTTTTACCAAGTTCATCTAACCTTTAGCTGCTTTTAAATTGTCTAGCCTTTTGCTATTTTTGTTTACCATTTTTGCTACCTTTAGCTTTAAACTAGCATTTTGCTAAGATGGATATTTAGCTACCCATTGTTACAGCTGTCTTTTAGCCACCTTTAGCTGTTTTTTGGCTATTTTTATCCATTAGCTAGCATTTTGCCACCTTTACCTAGCAGCTTGTTACCTCTGGCTTTATACTACCATTAGCTAGTTATTTATTTATTTATTTATTTATATTTTGCAAAATTTAGCCGTTAGCTTGCACTTTACATTTTGCTAGTCTTAGCCTTTCAGGGCCTTTGGCTTTTTCCTACAGACGCTACTTTTAGCTAAACTTCTACTTTGCTAACTTCAGCTAGCCGTGGCTACTTTTAGCTTTAGAGTAGCATTTTGCTATTATAACTTTTCTAAATCCTGTTCCTGCTTTTAGATCTAAGCTAGCCTTTTGCTACTATTATCTAGCAGTTTGGTACCTTTGAGGTTTAGTTAGCATTTTGCTACGTTTACCCCAAATTTTGATACTTTTGGCTTTAAACTCTTGATACCTTTAGGTAGCTTGTTAGGACCTCAGCATTTTTCTTGTTTTTACTTTAAGCTAGCTTTTTGCTGTTGTTGACTAGCCTTTTCCTACCTTTACCTAGCCTTCTGAGATATTTGGCTTCTTAGGTAGCATTTTGGTAACTACTGGGTTTTAGCTACATTTTTTGCCATTATTTTTGCTATGTTTAGTTAGCTCTTTAGCTTTCAGATAACATTTTTCTCCTTCATATTTCAGCGCTCTGTGTTTTTACATAATTTATTTTTGTTTGTAGCTAATTTCTGTGACCTCTCATCGATGACGGTTGTCAGTAAAACAGCCGAAGGTTCTGAAGTTTTGAGTTTAATGTTTGTAGCAATAAAATAAAAACATCTTATTGTTTTAATGTCTGACTGTTAAGATAAATGTGTCGTTATTTTAAGGGTTAAAAGCTTCATGATGTGTTCAGTTCTGAGGATAAAAATGTTCTGATTCTGCTGATGGATCCGGACCGGTCAGTCCTCTAAATAAAGATCCGGTTCGGGTCACAGAAACCTCAGCAAACCTGCTGACGTGGCGTTTTTGTTGCTCGACAGACAGGAACCCACTCGATGATAAACGTGAAGCGGACCGTCTGTTAGTGCTCATGTCTGAGACAGACAGGTTCTGGAGGACGACCCGCGGGCTCGGCTGAGCTGTTCTGTCCTGGCAGGTGGACGGAGTGATGGTTCCATTAAGACGATTACCTCAGAACTCGTCGGCTAATTTCAAGTTTCTCCACGTCAGACAGACAGCGGCTCGTAAAATATTTTACTTACACTCAGGTTCTCAAGATTGTTAGCTTAGCTGTTAGCTGTTAGCAACATCCTCRTCCTCAGTTCTACTGATCAGTCCTTCTTTCCCACTTTAAAGACACAGTTTAGGTTTAAACAGGGTTCTGTGGAGTGGGTATGAGCAGTCAGTATCATACCTGCTGTAGAAAGCAGTCAGAGGTAGTGCAGTTTGGAATTCTGCAGGTTGGAGACAGACACACACACACACACACACACACTATATAGCAGCTACTTACGAAAAAGCTAACACCTTATCTGTGTTAAGCTAACAGCTATGTGACAGTTTATGCATTTAACTGTGTTAATTTTGCTGTTTATCATTTAGTGACTTGAGTAACTTACAAATTGTAGTTTTTAGCTTTGTTTTGCTACAATGAGCATTTTACTACAGTTTTGCTTTTATTTATTTGGTTTCTTTTAGCTCCTAGCTACAGCCTTGCTTTGTTTAGCTCCTAGCTACAGCCTTGCTTTGTTTAGCTCCTAGCTACAGCCTTGCTTTGTTTAGCTCCTAGCTACAGCCTTGCTTTGTTTAGCTCTTAGCTACAGCCTTGCTTTGTTTAGCTCTTAGCTACAGCCTTGCTTTGTTTAGCTCTTAGCTACAGCCTTGCTTTGTTTAGCTCTTAGCTACAGCCTTGCTTTGTTTAGCTCTTAGCTACAGCCTTGCTTTGTTTAGCTCTTAGCTACAGCCTTGCTTTGTTTAGCTCTTAGCTACAGCCTTGCTTTGTTTAGCTCTTAGCTACAGCCTTGCTTTGTTTAGCTCTTAGCTACAGCCTTGCTTTGTTTAGCTCTTAGCTACAGCCTTGCT